TTAAAAGGTGTTAGACCACTAGTCATTTTCGATGAAAACACGATCGATCATGTTTCGTCTATTAAAGAAGTGCTTCTAACGATATTGAAATATAGCAATAAAGTATGTGGACACGATTAGATATATCAATAAAAAGGTGCGAAGGCACATAGTCATAAATTAACACAACAATCGTGCAATGACAATGTTTTCGTTTGGCAAAAAATGGCTCTATTTACTGACGTTAAGAAAATTAGATAGCTTTGTAGAAAATTGAAAGACGGATCTTTTAAAACAATTTAGGTCAAACAGATGAATAGTGGTGACACTATTGCAAAAATACAGAAAGGATCATTCTTCATGGGCCACCCGTTAATTGTACTGTTAGTTTATTTAATAACACGTCGCGTTGTGCAAAACATGATGTTGCGAGAAGCCGGTATATGGCAATGAGACCAAAGCAATGATATTTTTTTTCATAGATGAATAGGAATTCAGAAAACCTTATGGGAATGGGAACGTGGGAATGGAAACAAAATATTTTTTCTCGGGAATGGGAGTCGGAAATGGGAATCAAGAAAAATGGTTCCCACAGGACTCTACAAAATCCTGAACGATTAAGTTTCGACGCTGCAAAAAAGTCGGCTTTTTGGTATGCGACGAACGCGTGTTTTTTCTAAACCTCTCCACAGAATAGAAGCCCTCTGGGCTTTCAATTTGTTTTGACAATTGTAGGTTTCGATATGGGCTTCTATTGCGGTCAACGTTTTCCACGTTGCACCTAAGATTTAATTAGCTTACTGGCACAGAAGGTCTTTAAAAATTACAAAACGAAATTACCAAGTTGTCTGACAACTTTCAGAGTAGCTATTATAGCTTTGTAGAAACCAACAACTGATTACCAATTCTTTTTCGGTTGCATATTATTAAATCGATAAAGTGGTACGTTATTTATACGAAGTTTCGCATTCACACACTCATCTATCCTCAGCCAGCAGCTACTGGAACTTACTTTTTTAGAATTTATTGGGATCTTTTATAAATCCCTATGCATTTTAAAATAAATCTCACACCATTCCTTAGTACATGCGTACATACCTGCAGTGTGGGTGGACTGGAATATTGACATAGCTCAGTGCATACATGCATATCCACAGTGTGGGTGCACTGAAATACTGATACAGTTAATAAATCCTAATAAATCCTGCAGAAGAAATAAATTTCAAAAAAATAGTCGAACAAAGTGAGCTTCAAATTTAGAGTTTATGAATGTCTAGTTTTCACCGAAAATTCTAACTCAGAACCTTTAACTCCCTGTTTCTGATTGCTCAAATAGATATTCTTGATTCTGCTGAGTCGATCGGCGATACTCAAGAAAAATAACACGGAGTTACAAGTTGCAATTTGTTGAAAAACTAGAAAGGACGGGAGACAGTTTGTCCACAAATCGGCCCTATTTAAAAATCAGCTGGATAATCTATCAGGAGATGACAGTTGTGTCTGTGTGATCTCCACTATTCTACGTAGTACCAGAGCCATTTTTTTCAGCATAAGTAGCACTCGTTACGAGCTACAAAATGATAAAAAAATATCTCTCAAAATTGACTGTGCTCGTTACTTTCTAAAGAATTCTGAGAAAATCATCGAGCACAGTCATTTTTTAGAGATATTTTTTTTATCATTTTGTAGCTCGTAACGAGTGCTACTTATGCTGAAAAAATGGCTCTGGTACTACGTAGAATAGTGGAGATCACACAGACACAACTGTCATTTCAAGATAAATTATCCAGCTGATTTTCAAAGAGGGCCGATTTGTGGACAAACCATCCCCCATCCTTTGTAAACTTCAAATTTGGAGCTCACTTTTCTTGACCCAAAAAAACCTAAGTCATAATAGCCTCCTCCTCAGCATTTCGTGGATCTGGTTACGGATACGAAAGCTTCGTTTAACATCATATGTTGATTTTGGACATGTCGAGTTTTGAAGAAGTTTAAAAGAGGTTTCTATTAGACCTATACCCATATAGTTCTGACGGACGACTTCATCATGGCAGCTAATGCAGAGTTCAGATACGAAGCGAGATATATTTTAATTATTGAAACAGAAATATGAAACAAAACCTATGATTACACAATAAGGGTCTCCCATTTCTTGAGAGATAGATAATTCAGATCTCATAAGTGTTATAATAATTAATATTGTGTCATCTCATGCTGGTATTTGTTTTTAAGTCTGATAAGTTCTCGCGTAATTCGTATCGATTGCAGGTAAACTTTCTAAGAAGACTCATCTTTTGATCAAAAATTTGCTCATATTGCTGCTAAGTCAATAAAAAATTCCAGCATTCCGTTTCTAAGTTGCACATAATCGTATAAGAGGAAGAGATCGAACAGAACGGTATTATTGCATGCGTAATTTCTATTGAATACATAGGGGTATCCAAAAGTAGTGACAACGACAGTTTAGTACCACATATTAAGCTTGGTAAATGTTTCTTTTTACATTGGATGATAGAGAAAAAAATGCTCTTTCTTTCTATGCTATTTGATCATACTTCAGTCAACACCATAACAACAAAGTTTTAATAAGACTAGTTTTCCTAACATGTGTAACGGTTATAGAAGTTCATATTGTCTTCAATATGCATTCTTTTCTTGATCTTTTCTTTGTTTTTCTTCTTTCCTTTATTCTTTTCTCTGGCCTCTTCTGAGACTTTATCGTTTATTCATATTAGCATATCCGAAAATTGAAAATACATAAACAATTTCAAGAAGTCTTTATTTCATTAAATGTTCAAAGTAATTGCCTTGATTATCTACACACAATTGCATTCTTTGAATCCATTTATCAAACGTTTTTCTATACTCTTCTTTATCCAAAGAATACATGAACTTGGTTATAGCGTGATGTAACGATTCGGAATTAGTTTGATCATTTAGATTTCGTTTGATTAAGACGAATAACCAAAAATTACAGGGAGACAGATTTGGAGAATTGGGTGGTTGTGGTACTATAGTAACTCCTTCTGAACCAAGATAATCGAGGACATCTTTATGAACATGTGCTTCTCCATTATCATGATGAAGTTTGATGGCATGAGTATCTGAGAGAGGTCTTTGTTTCTTGATTTCTTGGATAACCGGTTGCAAACAGTTTTTGATGTAATATTGGTGATCGATAGTTTGTCCACGTTCGACACGATGGATTAGAAGAGGACCAGTTGATTTAAAGAAAATGCAAAATAAAGTCTTCGGAGCAAACTTATTTCGTCGCACTATTGTGGGTGGAGGATCTTCTTTTGCCACTCAAGCAGCATTGGAAGCTTTTCGACCAGTTTACTGATGGAAAAACCACGATTCATCACCTGTTACCACGTCACATAAACGCCATCTTCCTTCTTCAAATCTTGACAGATTTTCTTTGCATATTTGAACTCGTTCACTCCGTTGATAATCCATTAGCTGTTTCGGTATGTAACGAGCAGTAATTTTTCCAAGTTCCAGATGATCAAATAATATTGCATGAAGGGTGCCATAACTTAGTCCAGTATGCTCTTGTAATTCTGCTATTGTAACATGAGGATCATCACTAACAATACTACGAATTTCTTCAATATTTTCAAGAGTACTCTCAGTTACAGGTCTTCTGGATCGTTCTTCATCTTCAATTTCTTCTCGACCTGGACGAAACCATTGAGCCCATCTTGCAACTGTCCGATAAGAAGGAGCTTCATCACCAAAAACAGTACTTAGCTCGTCGTGAATAGTTCTTGCTTCAATATTAAGTGCAGTACGCACTTTAATGCAGAACGAAAATTTTCTTTCTCCATTGAAAACCAAAATAAGAGTGTTAAGATTCGATGTAACTTTTGCTTTTTTCACTTTCTATAGAATAGACTAGTAAACGGCACGTGCACAAAAAGAGGCATGTGTTTTTGTATACATATGATAAATGATAAAGTCTCAGAAGAGGCGAGAGAAAAGAATAAAGAAAAGAAGAAAAACAAAGAAAAGATCAAGAAAAGAATGCATATTGAAGACAATATGAATTTCTATAACCGTTACACATATTAGGAAAACTAGTCTTATTAGGACTTTGTTGTTATGATGTCAACTGAAGTATGATCAAATAGCATAGACAGAAAGAGCATTTTTTTCTCTATCATCTTATGTAAAAAGAAACTTTTACCAAGCTTAATATGTGGTACTAAACTGTCGTTGTCACTACTTTTGGATACCCCTATGTATATAAGCGTATGTTTTGTGTGGAAATGGAACCACTTGTTGTGTGAAGATGCCAAATAAAGCGAGTATCACTATCTCACAAGCACTTCTCTCCTCAAGTTCATCACAAAATTCAAAATATGACGAGACAAAGTGAGTATATATGTAACTTTTTCAAAACTCGTCCCTCCATACTCATTCAAGATTTTGATGCGGTCTAGAATTTAATTTCAAAAAAGTTTTTCCTATCGGTTATCTTTATTTTAAAACTGTTCCAAGTTGGACAACATATTTTTGTCATGAGAAAATCATATTTTGAGATGAGGGGACAAAAAGTGACAAAGTGTCTGTCAAGTCGGTATTTTGCATATATTTATTAATGATAGCTTTTTTGAAGAAAACTAAAGTCAAATTTTGATTCTCCGCGTTTTTTTATCTAACTACAATGAACGAAATGCGAACATAAACTTTTCATAGTTGGAAAACTTTTTTTCTTCGCCGGATAGAGGCTGTCAGTTTTTGCTCTTTTTTCGTTTTCAACTAGCATAACTCGAGATGAAGATGAACTAGATTGCTGAAATTTTTAGAAGTGTAGGAAGCTATAGAGAGGAGTATTCTGTGGAATTTTCAAGTCACTCGGAACTTCAGAACATGAGATACGGATAATTTAGTACCGATGATGCAATTGTACGATTGGAATACGATTCAACTATATAAATAATATCTAAAGAGACGAAAAAAATACATTAAATATTCTTTTTTTTTGGTTGTCACCCTTCTCTTTTATTTTCAACCATGTGTGCTCTTCATATTTTGTTCTATCTTTCTGGTTCTTCCTGTTCGTTCGCTCCGTCTTTTCGATGCGCGCTGCGTATCTTCCTTGGTGTGGGAGGCATCATGGTTCTGGCCGTGCCTTCTCCTTTCTGTTGTTCTCTTTCTCTTTCATGTTTGGTTCTGTGCTATGTTCTATCTCATCACATATGCTGCGGCGTAGCTCTTGGCGTGATGATATGTGCATGAAGCATGTTTCGCTTGCTATTGCGTGAGCATGAAAGTTCAATCTTTTTGTTTGTTCGTTGTTGAATACACAGAGAGAAAGGAAGTCAGCACAGTAGCTTTTTATTTTTGAAAAAAATATCGACATGCATGAAGAAACACAGATTCTCTCTGACTATATTTAGAGCAATTTCATATTCTACACAAACAGTCATGAAGTTACCTAGATGGCTCTATGCAGATCATTTAGCTAAGGATTTCTCTGGACGTGAAGCATTTTTAAGAAATGAAGATCTGAAACCAGTTGAATGTGAACGACGGCTCTGGGGACCCTGGAATTTTGTTGCATTTTGGCTTGCTGATTCAATTAATATTAATACATGGATGATTATTTCAAGTATGGTTGTTGGTGGATTGGCCTGGTGGGAAGCATGGATCTGTGTTTGGATTGGTTATACAATTCTGGCCATTTTCATCTGTCTATCTGGGCGAATTGGTGCAACATATCATATTTCATTTCCAGTTGTCAGTCGATCATCGTTTGGCCTGTTTGGTTCATTCTGGCCTGTTCTCAATCGAGGCTTTATGGCGTGTGTCTGGTACGGTGTTACAGCGTGGGTGGGTGGGCAGTGTGTTGTACTCATCTTTCGATCCATCTGTCTTTCGTACGAAACACTGCCGAACACTCTACCGATATCATCTGGTACGAATACACGAGACTTCGTTGGTTTTATTATTTTTTGGATACTTTCACTGATTCCTATCTGGTTTTCTGTACAGAAAATACGAGTTCTATTCACTGTTAAATCAATTGTGGTACCCATTGCAGCGTTGGCATTCTTTATTTTGACCTTGGTGAAAGCGAATGGTCTTGGCCCTATTATTCATCAATCAGGAACACTCACAGGTAGGCATATACGGACATGATATGATATCGGAATAGCGGTTCGCTGATACTTTGTCGGCTGATGGAAATCGAGAACAAATTCTCAAAATTCGGTAAACTTTATTTGCAATTTCATAATATTTCTTTCGCTTGAAAAGAAGGGAATCTCCAAACCTCAAAGGGAAGTTTTTCTTCGTTTTCTTGCACGCATAAGACGCGTTTCAGTTGAGATTTTGTCTATTTTTTGGCACATGTTATTCTTAGTTTGCATAATTTTTCCGCTTTTTGTAAAAAAATGCGCATTTAAGCATATTAAATCAGCATAAGCCGCGCTTTTTTGTGAGTCTTTGCCAACTAATATTTCAGCGCCTGGCTGTTATGAGATAAAATACTTAACATTGTAGGAAAAAAGCCGACTTCGTCTACCTCTTAGTCTGATTCGGACTATTTTTGCCCTAATTTATTTGAGTTTTCCGTTGGGTTATAGGCCAGATATTTCGATAGGCCTTCAGATTTGCTATCAGTTGGCGATAGACGGCGTTTGTTTCTACTACTCGCTCAGTTAAACTTTTTTTGCATATCTACGCACCTTTTAAAAAGTCAGCAGGCGTTTTTGAAGCAACTAAACGCGTTTCAATGTATTGAGTCAGTCATTTCTCCTATACTCGTTTCTCAGCGATACCTCAAACACAATTACACTTGCTCTCAAACAAAAAATTCTTTTCAAGCGGAGAACCTTGTGAGCAATTCATTGGCCTTATTTGTAGAGAAGTGTGAGTAAGGTAAACACTAAAAAGACTATTATTTTGGCGGTTTTTTAATTTTAACTGCGCACGAAGCATTTTAACCAAGAAGCCTTTTTATGTTAAAAACCTGATTTCCTAAAAAAGAAGACCTTTTCATTCAAGTCATCAAAAGACTTATTCTGTAAGGAAAAATGGAGAAACCGCTAATTCAGGCGAATCTCCCACTTTAGACCATGAGGCTTACGTTTCTACTTTGAGACAAGAGACTTTTGTAAAAAATTGAATTTTACACAAAAAAACTTTTCGGCATAGAGATTGTGAGGTCTAAAAAGTGAAACTCCTCCCTTTAAATGCATTTTATTGGTTCAAACACCTCGGGAAGATGTCGGGAGATCGGACTCGTGTGATGTAAAGAAATTTCTGTAGAAAATTCGCATCCTCTCTTAATAGTTGGTATACTTTCATTTACATCGTAAGAGTTGCCTTGAAAAGATAAAAGAACCTCTCATAAACAGAGACCAAAATGTCACGAAAATAGCAAAAAATGAACTCTGTTGTATCACACAAAGTTCGCTAGTTACCAAACTTTCATTCTTTTGCAAGGCATCACAGAAAGATGTTTTCACCTTAGCGGTTTCAGAAAACGTCGCTGAAATGAGGTAGATCATTCTGATCAACCCAAATCCAAATATATCAGAAAGAGAACTTCGAGTTGCAGAACCTCGAAAATTTTCGAAGTCTGAGAAAAAAGTGTAAAACGTTGTAGCAATAGATGAAAAATCAATTCTGTATTTTTAAAACTTTCACTCCTCTATTCAACCTCTAAAATTACTAGAGGAGTTTCACAAAATTCATTTACCTATGCTCGGGAAAAACGTTTCTTTGTGAACAGAAAATCTAACCAAAAAGTCAGAACAGTGGTATTGTCATGAAATTTCTAATAAAGGTTACCAAATTCTCAGAAACTATTTTCTCGATTCTCATGTCTTATAAAATATCGGCGAACGATATTATATAAAACGATAGTTCGCTATCATATGATATGGATCCATGCCTATTTCACAGGTAGTCTACGCGGTTGGTCTTGGATGGGTGGCATTATGAGTTGTATTTCAAATTTTGTTACAGTCATTGTTAATAATCCAGATTTTACTCGGTTTGCTACACGTCCATCAGCCGCCTTCTGGTCACAATTACTCACTATTCCAATCGGCTTCTCAGTCACATGTTTCATCGGCGTAATTGTCAGCTCATCATCAAATGTGATCTTCGGCCAAGCTATTTGGAATCCACTTGATCTTCTAGGCAAATTTCTCGACAGCCAGCCGTCAGCTGGAACACGTGCAGGTGTCTTCTTTATCTCATTAGCATTTGCACTAGCTCAGCTCGGTGTTAATATTGCAGCAAATTCTATATCAGCAGGATCTGATCTAACGGCACTTTTACCAAAGTTTCTCAATATCAGACGATCAGGCTATATCTGTGCCGTAGTCGGCTTAGTCATCTGCCCGTGGAATCTTCTCACCAGTTCTTCAAGGTTCATAATCTATCTATCGGCATACTCGACTTTTCTCTCATCGGTTGCCGGTGTTATGATATCAGACTATTATTTTGTACGAAAAGGTTACCTAGAAATTGAAGAACTGTATTCAGGATCAAAACAAAGTGTCTACTACTTTACATGTGGCTTGAATTGGCGAGCGTTTGTTGCATACGTCGCAGGGATTCTTATCAATATAGTCGGATTTGCCGGTGCAATAGGAGCAAATGTCTCAACTGCAGCACAGAACATGTACCATTTAAATTTCTATCTGGGATTTATTGTTTCTTCACTCGTGTACTATGGGCTATGCAAACAAAGTCCAGTGCCAGCGTGTGGTCAGAAGTGGCCAAGTGAAGTTGTTGATGATACCGATAATAGCATGGGTCTTAAAGCCGTGGTCGTTAATACGGAAAGACAGAATGGTAGTATTAAATTACAAGATCAAAAAGTAGTCGACGAAGTGACTCGTTCATGATGAACACGCAAGATGAACAACAACAATCTAATTTTGAATTCTTTTCCTATATATCGTTATTTATAAACGTGTAGTTTTTCTTTTTAATTATGAAATTTAAGTTTTTTGAGAATAGTAGTTATTTTTTGTCCTTAAAGGAGATTATGCTTTTTTATCCCTTAGTTCATTATCTTGAATAGTATGGATGTAGATGTCTAGAAATGATTCGTTCTGTTTATTATGAAGAACATCGATGAATCATTAGCAATAAAAAAAACAAAAACAGAATATTCTGCAAGGGGGAACCAGCAGAGACTTCAGCCGTGAAGTCTCATGAAGTCTTGTAAGTCTTTTGAAGTCTTCTGAAGTCTCTTGAAGTCTTTTGAAGTCTTATGAATTATCATAAAGTCTCTGAAGTCTTTGAAGTCTCTTGAAATCTCATGAAGTCTCATGAAGTCTCATGAAGTCTCTTGAAGTCACTTGAAGTCTCTTGAAGTCTCTTGAAGTTTCATGAAATCTAATGAAGTCTCATGAATTCTTTTGAAAGTTTTGAAATACATTTAGTGCATGAAAACTCATAAGAAACCAATGAAATTGTCTTGTTTTCGACGATTTTATTTTAGCAGAAAGGTGAACTATTTATTGTTTTTTTTCAATGTTCTGGAAAAAATTCAAGCTTGTTTGGTCTTAGTAAACGTAATAGTTAATAACTGAATCTTTTTGAATGAAGTGTTTTATTTTTATAAGAAATGTTTTATCTATCCAAATCAATCTGATGAAGAATTTTAATCCTTTTTTTTTTGTTTCTATCACTCGTGATAATCTATCAGCCGATAAACGGCTAGCTTTGTCAGTTAATAACCAACAAGCCGTTTGCTTGTGTATAAATTTAGTCTTGTTATTTATTTGCACTTGAAAATAGGAGTTTTTCATTGCTGGATTGATCGAATCAAATATACGCATACCAGTAAAATTTATTTTCTCAGTTTTAATTTCATCAACACTTTGTGTCGTTGCCGCATCTTTATCTTCTTCATCTACATTGATTAGATCACTATTAAATTCATTACTTTCCATTGTTTCATCATCATAATCAGATTCAGAATCTGATGAAGAATCTGCATCCGTTGCCGAATAAGTATCCGAATTAATGTTGAATCTAATACTATCAAATATATTTCTACTTAAACCATTAAGTTCACAAGCATTGCATTTCTTTAATAAAGGTAATATATTCAAATTACTAACTAGTTCTTTTGCACGATTAAATGCAGCTAAAATAATATTTTCACCATTATTTAATCCTCGTTGCTAAGGGCTGTAATGGGGGGGGAGGGAGGGGGTGTGTCTGTAATGTTCTCTTTCTCCGTTGCTAAGTGTCTATAATGGGGTGGGGGGGAGAGAGAGCCATCAAACCTCGAACTGAAAACGTGCACTCACTATTTTCTTCGAAAATATACGTGAGTTCCATAAAACAGACTTTTGGGAGCAATCAATTTTCAATATCATTCCTGTTCGTGGCTCTCGGAAGACACTAGTTACTCTGTTATGAATAAGGGTGTCAATTTATATTTACTTTCCATTTAATTTACGCGTAAATTAAATGATAAATAATTTATATTTATTATAAAGTAAACGGTAAATGACACCCCTACCATTTGATAAGTTTTGTTTTTTTGCATGTTATAGAGGTTTCATGTAATTTCTATAAGATTTTTTGATACGCATGGAATCTACCTCTTGAAGTCCTATGAAGTCTTCTGAAGTCTTGTGAAGTCTTCTGAAGTCTTCTGAAGTCTTCTGAAGTCTTGTGAAGTCTTGTGAAGTTTTATAAAGTCTTGTGAAGTCTTATGAAGTCTGATGAAGTCTTATAAAGTCTCAAGAAGTCCTACAAAGTCTCTGAAGTCTCATGAAATCCGTGAAGTCTCATGAAGTCCCTGAAGTCTCACGAAGTCTGTGAAGTCTAACGAAGTCTTTGAAAGTTTTTTGAAGTCCCATGAAGTCCCATGAAGTCATACGAAGTCTTATGAAGTCTTGCGAAGTCATTTGAAGTCCTATGAAGTCTTCAGAAGTCTTTAGAAGTCTGTCGAAGTCTTGTGAAAAGATGAAGTCACAGCGGGTGAAGTCTGTTGAAGTCTGTTGAAGTCTTTTGAAGTCTTGAAGTCTTGAAGTCCGCTGTTTCCCCCTTGATATTCTGATGGAAAAAGAATTGTAGCAAAATATTAGTTCGTTACTATAACTTTCATTCCGAAAAACACTGAAAGATGAGTAACGTTAATTGCACAGACATCTTTCCCTGATGGTGAGGGTGCCACGGAAATCTATATCACACACATCAGCACATATCTTTCTGCGGAGTGTGCTCGGAAATCGTGATTCTACATGAAAAGCTGATTCCTTAGTGGATGAACTTGATCAAATTTTGGATGCAGGTATATTGTTTATTGTAATTCATTTCACGAAATAAACGTAAGTGAATTTAATACTTATAGGATTTATTTAAACATATTGAAGAAAGAAAGACAAAGATGAATGTACTAATGAAATGAATAAATCAATAATAATCTTGTAGTTTTTAATCTACTTATTATAAATGAATGAACATAAAAATGAATACTTAGCTAGAGCTTTCGACTCTCCACGAGTCATTATCAGTAATGTTGTTGAACTATAGCCAAATATTCAGTTTTATATTCATTTATTTCAGTAGTATATTCATCTTTGTCTTTCTTTTTCAAATATGTTTAAATAAATCGTATGATTATTAAATTCACTTATGTTTCGGGGTGTGGGTGGGGTGTGGGTGTCTATCATCTCTTAAATGATGCTCACATTCACATCCACACCCGCCCACACCCATACCCACATTCACACCCACACGCACATCCACGATATCATTTCATCATTTTCAAATAGTCTAAAACGGACCTATAAGTTAAATGTTCGCAAGGTTCATTGTTTTTCAACTTTTTTCGGATTTCTGTCGAACTGATATTGATCGTGTCCGCCGTTGTTGATGTTCCAATGTAATCATTGCTCAACGACACATGAAATATCTTGCTATTATTCTTCATGGCTTCTGATGCCACTAGATTGTTGTCCTCACCTGCGCGGTGAACGACAGCAACGCCACCCATGTTGGGCGCTCTTAAAGACTGCATACCATGACAACGATTGAATAAATCAAGGCCAGCGACAAAAATAACACGAACGGGTCTTCGTACACGCAACTTTTCATTCAAGAACTCTTGAAGGCTAATGGTCACGTGTACTAGAGAGTTAAAGTGAGGAGCTAAAAATGAAATAGTCAATTTCAGTTAAGTCTTACAGCCTGATCGTATCCAACCCATTGTTGAATCGGCTCGTATTCTCTTGAAAAAATGCTTTGTCCGAAATTGAAATGATCATTATTTTAATGTTCTTCACAAGAATAGTTTATAACAATATCCTAAATATGTGCGATCGTTTTCATTGGACAAAGCACAAAGTTTGTTGTAGATTATTTGGTTCGGGCTTCAGAAAGGACATATTAGGTCTATCTCATTTCTGAAAACATAAGTGCTCGCATTCCTCTAATTAAAGTCCTTGGAATCGTTTTTTCACCTATTTCACTCTTGTAAACTCGATAAGTTCTCTGTCATCCCTTATATGAAATAAATTCATTGAGAGATGTATCTAATGAATGAGTCCTATATTTCGATTGAAACTTTTGAGTCTGTTCGAATTGTTACCATCTTTGAAAATGAGATTGTTTTGAATATTAGAACAAATTGATGTTTGTTCCTCAGTGAATCAATGTATCAGAGAAAATGTCAACTTACCCACACATTCGGCTTTATCGATACTTAACCAATGTTGTTGACGCGCTTCGTCAATAGCTCTTCGACACATTTCAATCCGATGTCGACCAAGAATAAGTTCATTTTTTAATTTGCGTCGAACATAGTCATCATGAGTCGGTGATATATAACCAGCAATAACATTAAAATTATTTACACGTTCCAAATGTTCTCTTGTTTTGATCATAATCGATATGTGACCACGATGAATAGGATTCAAAGCGCCTGTCATGATCAAAACAACATTATCCCTGTCACCTATATTGGAATTTAAATTGAAGTGAAGATTCGACAAATCGGTCGTCGATTCAGTATGCATGTTTGAACTCGCTCGAGCTTCTTAAAAATACTCTTGCAGAGGAAATATATCAGAGCATTCATCTCTTACCTTTTCTTTTTGCTCTTTTGGCTGTATAGACGTCTTCGCCATGTGAATATTTCATACAATGTGTGCTCGATTTGTCAAGACAGGCAGCTTGATCACGGCAGGGAACAAGATAATCGGGAAAATCCACGTGGCGGTATTCAGCTCGATGGAAAGGATTATCTAGTTTGTTGCATTTCTTATCATATTTACACATTGGTACTTGATGAGGTTCGTGTGTATAATGCGGTTCGTTTTTACGACAAAGTTCAGAAAAGCGACAAGGATGGGAATATTTCGCATTATGATCCGCTTTATGTTGTGTAGAATATCGACGAAGACAATTGACATTATCCGGACATGGTATCAATTTCGGACTGTCATCAACATGGACGGAGTTTTCCATCGGATTAAGGAGTCTCGGAGATTTCTTTCTATCATCATCTTTCTTTGTTGTAGATGGCTCATGGCGAACATCAGGATCATCCAGCTGATTTTGATCTGTCGCTGACGCTGATGATCCTCTCTTGAAATAGTTATCGAATATCGAATGTAAATCATCTTGTTTTTCAAAACAAATCATCAAACTATTTTGACAATGAGAGCGAAGATCTTCTCTTCACTCGCATCCTTACCCTCACCATCAGAATACAAAAGATTAAAATGTCATTTCCGCACTCTTTTTGCATCAGAAGCTTGTCTCACGAGTCACTACAATATTTCACTTTCATAAAGATTTGTGCATATATCAAGATCGAATAGAAAGGGGTGACTATTTTTCGCACTTCAAATGAGATAGGGTACTGTTCACTTACATGTTCTACCGATGCAGTTCGATTCGAATTAGATTTTTCCGTTGTTTGATGTTCCTTGAGGGCATTGGTCAAAGCGGACTGCTTTCTGCATACTAGACAGTCGCTTTTCTTCTTCTTGTTAACACATTCTTCAGCACAATTATAATGAAATATGTGACCGCATTCGGTGATCACCCGATTTTCATGTGCTTGCAATGGCGATTCACATATTGAGCATTCGTGTGTGATCAGTGATGAAGACATTTTTTTTTCAATCTGAAAATAGGCAATAACTCTACACGATTTGCTTCTGCAATGCTTGCTTCCATCGACATGCACGCTGAATGCAGCAGAACAGAGAACGAGCAGTCAACATCAACAAACTTGAATGATGTGGAAAAGAAGCACCGCTGATGGCATTTGATTTTTCGTTAATGAAATGGGAAAAAGGTGAGTTTTGCGTTGTTGAGATACGAATAAAAACGAATACGATAACCCTCTCAGCAGTAAAGAACAGCAAAAATCATTGGGAAAAAATTCCCACTCTCTTAACAATACTTCATGTAGAGCCGGAGAGAAAAAAAATGTTGTTGGGACCTAGGGTGACGATTCCGACAACAGGATCTCACCGGATTCAATCGGAGCCACTGCAGGGTTTCGACGAAAACCGTCAGATCCGATAGAATTCCGATGTAACACGATGGGTTCGCTTCGCATCTTCTCGTACCGCTGACTCGTGCTCTTTGCATCGCATGCATTGCCTGTGAAAAAAAAAAAACTTTCTTACTGTGCGTTCTTTTTCTTGACGTGTGGCCGCGAAAAAGACGATACGTTTGCACAAGGGATACTTGAGTAGCTGCACTCATCTGTGCAGAAACGTTCGATAAAAAAAATGGGGAATCAGGTACTTTGTTGATTATCAGTAGTGATTTTTTTCGTTTGAAAAAAAGCAGTCAAGTCAATACTAAGACATAGTGAGGAATTTCCAATAATTTTGCTGACAAAAGTATTCGAAACAGTCTTATGGATTAAAAAAAAACAAGTGTCGAATGCATACTCCGAAATATCTTTCGTCTGTTTTGTCACGTCCACTTTCACAACATCTGATCATTCTTCTAAGCATTTTGGCAAATATGTTTTCGTTTTGTTTGAATTCCAGTAAAGATTTGCTCCTGAAAACTTCATGAAAACATGAAACTTCGTTCTAATTTGGGTGTGTATGTGGTGTGGGAATTGACGAGAGTAAAGAAAAGATAGACAATCACACTCACTCTTGTTCAAATATGAGAACATTTCCAGCAAAGTTTCATGCTCTTTAGTACAAATATTTTAGTGAGCCTCCAATTAATGAGGTTGTATAATAAGTTACCAACCAGAATCATGATTATAAATAATGATCTTATTTATAATACGTATCTCAATGAGATCTGTTCGTTTGATATGATTCACGTTCTTATTGATCATTTCTAAAGTTACAGGCAGTAATTAAGATAACCATGAAAGACAAAATTTCATTCATTCATTCATTTTCGTTTCCTATTGTCATTTCGGGTCGAGGTTTTAGGTATGTTCAGCAGACCCTTCTACCGATCTCGATTTTAATTGTATATCCAGCGCTTGTATTCGTGATCAAACTCTTTCGGTCATCGTTCATTATTCATGACTATTGGTGAGAGTAGGACGATATATTGCATTGGAAATCGCTATCGGTTAGCGTCAATAGAGGTCACTCTATTACGGCTAACTGTTTTCGTTACTAGTTATTGGTTTCTTTCTTTCTCCTCTCAGTTGTTTTGCCATGTTCTCTCTGATTCATACTGATAGTTATCTTTCTTCCTACCAGTTGTTGTTATTGATTTTTCTTCTTTTTCTTTCTTCTTTCATTATTATAATCTTCGGTTTAATTTTATTAATAAAACCTCATCAACAAGGGTGTAGATGTGGGTGTGGATGTGGATGTATTTTTCCACTACACCAAGACCGACATCCACACCACACCTTGCATACAAGTTTGGTCAAGTGATTTTTATGCCAATTTTCGAATTCGGAGAAGTCAAAAACGTGAGGAATTTAACTTAAAAAGTTTGATTCTAGCCTTCGGGAAATGAAAGAAGTAAAATTTCATACTAAATAGCACTGGAAAACGGTAAATAATGCAAAGTACTATGAGAGTATAAGTATCGGATTAATAATACTTGACAAAATATCATGGTTCTATCCTAATTTTAGGATAACAGAATTCAAAGCTACCTGAAGAGTTCTTTTTCAGCGAAGGGTGAAGCCGATCATATTATTGCTGATGCTTACCTTCAAACTTTCAGTTATCTTCCTCTCTTCTTCTCCGCTGCTGGAACAGAAAAGAAATTGCAATACTATTCATATCAGCAAGTACTTCACCAAGACTGTAGGATTTCATCACATATGATGCAATGCTTTGCAATGTGTGAGTGTAGAAATAACTGAAAGGATAAATTGCTCGTATTCTTTCAGATATTTGGATCGAAATTTCGCTATATTTGCTCCCGTGAGTGCGTTGAATATGGCAGCAGTTGCTGATCATTGTTCTTTGTCGCCATCTTCTTTCACAAACACCGAAAGCAATGCTATTTTGACAGAGACTTCGAAGGAACTATCAGCACCAATAGTTAACACGCTAGCAATAGAAGATTCACGTGCAATCGAACTAATCTATACATACTGGTTTGGTGAGAATATCAATACATGGTCAAAACAGTATCCCCTAAATACAAAGTTATGGTTCAGAGTTCAAGAAAAAGTAGATAAAGAGATCAAGGACAAATTTGAAAAGTATTTGATCGATGCTGCAGCAGCCAACAGCAGTCTCTGCCAACGTTGGCGAACCATCCATCGTGGCAAACTTGCACTGATTATCTTGTTTGATCAATTTTCTCGAAATACCTATCGAGATACAACGAAAATGTTCGAATTCGATCCTTTGGCTCTGAACTTGGCACTTGAAATAATCGATGATCCGACATACGTCACATCGTACAGTTTACCTGAACGCATCTTTGTGTATTTTCCGCTGGTTCATTCGGAGAATCTTGTTTACACGACCAAAGGTGTCGACTTGTTAACAGGACTCGTGCTACAGGTATCGCAACGTGATATACGAAAACAGTATTATACAAACGCCCGAATAGCAAAAACTTCTCAAAAGATTATCGAGCTGTTCGGTCGATATCCACATCGAAATGATCTGCTGGGACGACAATCGACTCCGGAGGAAGAGGAATATTTGAAAACAGCACGTCACCAATTTGTACAACCTGTCCACACCATCAAATCAACAGTATCTCCTTCTCCAACTTCGGACGGCACAAGTCAAGTTCCGTATTCAAAACAGTTGTCATATCCTTGTTTGAAGATACTTGTTCTACATGGTTTCTATCAGAATGCAAACATTTTGAAACATAGTGTGAAAAAATTATTCAACGAGTTGAAGGACGTGGCAACATTTTATTTCGCCAATGCTCCACTACCATACAATCCCACAGGGGAAGTAAAAGAACAACTCCTCACAGCTTTTGGCGATGGAAATTTGTCAGAAACAAGTTATCAACGACAATGGTGGAATGCTTCTAAAGATAGCAAAATCTATCATCATTTAGATGTTTCCTTGCATTATATTGATCAATTATTCAAGTCAACAGGACCCTTCGATGGTGTACTTGGCTTTGCAGTATGTGATTAGTTAGCAGAGTTATATTTTGTAGATAACATTGTTTTCCTTGATTTAGGAAGGAGCTTTGTTGGGTGGCATTTTGAGCAGATTGCAACCATTCGGTAATATCTTATTCAATTTTGCTATTCTTATTTCTGGATTTGCCTCTCGAGCTGAATGTCACAAAGATTTCATGCAGCTGAACTCAATTAAGAATGTCCCTTCCTTACATGTTTATGGAACCAAAGATGTTTTAATTAATAATGATCAAACTCTGCAATTGGCAGCAGCTTTTGAAAATCCGATAATTGTGTCTCATTCTGGTGGCCATTTTACACCAAACTCCTGGCCAAACAGTCATATCAAACAGTTTTTACTTGAACAGCAAG